TCACTGATGTCACTTGTTGCTAGGAGCTGACCACACAAACACCAACGCCCTTGGCCTCAGGTGGCAAATAGTGAATAGTGTAGGGACGCCCCTGTTTGTAGGTCTCCAACTTTGCTAAAGGGGCAGTCCACCTAAAAGTAGTCTGTTAGTAATAGGTTAAGCTGAGCAAGCCCATGACTTCTTAAATGTCATGGATAGCCCAACAGCAAGATCTGCTATCTGCTAATTCGATGGTATATAGTGGCTCCCATGATGGACTATAACTTCAATACAAATTAGCTAACTAAACATGAGATTGTAGTCCATCACAGTAGCGAGCTTAGAGTGGTGTCTACTTTACAACACACACAGGGACCATGGGGAACAAAAGTAGCCACCCTCCAGAAGGAAGGACAGTGTCAGCACCAATTCAGAGATGATTTGAGGATCTACAGACGGAAATAGTTAAGGTACTTGAATACATTTTTAGGATTTTACCACCAGAGTTTAGTGTCATTAGTGCTTACAAGTTGTAAACGCCTTTGAAAAATAGAACTTTCTGGAAAGGATAAAGGGGTCTAAACAGACCCCTGATATTTCCCTTCCCTGATACTTCCCTTTTAAAATAGAAAAAGAGATTGAGAACACTACCCATTCATTCATAATTGAGGATATAGTAAACATACTATGTCCTTAATTATTTACAAACACCCAGCGATCACTGATCACTGAGTGTTTGTACTCTCTCCATCCTGACACGTTGTTACAGGAGGCTGAGCGAGCGGAGCTCAGCCTCTTGTGACAGGACTGCTCTCACACACTGCTCTCCTAGAGGGGAGATGTGGGAACAGAGGGGATGTGGGGGAGAGTGGGAACTCAACTGCCCTGCTGAAACCCTCCACATCTGCCCCTGCTCAGACCCTCCACATCATTGTTGTGTAATGATTAGCTGGGAATTGTAGTCCTCTATAGCTGATGTACTCGGTCTAGAAAAAATGGTATCAATGGATCTCTACTCCCATCCATGCCCGTACCGAGGTACAGACATGTATTAATAAGGATGGGAGGCAGAGTTAATTGACTACAAGTGCAGGGCATAGGCAGCCATCTGAGGGCGCGCGTGGAGGGGGAGTGGTGTGCAAAAATGCACCCTGTGTTGCCTGTGTAGGCAGAAATCCTTGCACCGGCCCCGGTACTTAAATGCATTTTTAAGATTTAACTCTTGAGTTTAGTGTCACTTTAAGCCAGAGGGTTTTCTAAGTGTAAACCACCATTCAGGTTTAGGAAAAAAAATTTCCGCAGTCAGACCTTTTAACCAGACCTTGTCTCTTGCTAGCTTTTGGTGCCAATCCTAATAAAATGCCTCAAGATTTCTATTCCAGAATCTTAATTTATATATCTTCTCTTTATACTATTAGACTGAGAACAAATGTTACATTTTTATTTATACTTACTAAATATCTTTTACCAATCTGCCTTCCCTGGGGTGCCTATCCATAATATACCTTTGCTGGGCTTGTTTATTCGCAAAACTTCTGGCTGACCTAACTTAAACAAGGGTCAATTTGCAAGTTGGAGAAAAAGAAGAAGAGCCCAAATAGGCCCTAGAAGATGTACTCTAAAAGTACTTCTTATGCACTTATCTGCAACAGATAATGAGGGACCAACAAATCAAACTTGTTGGCGGTTAATGAGGCAGTGAGACAATCTGGGCATACATCACATCAGGGAACGTGGCAGATAATTGAAAAGTGCAGCTGGATTTGAGTGTAAACATGTTAATGTGGTAGCTTGGATACCAGCAAGAGCTTGAATGTGCCTAAGAGGGTAAAACAAATCATTCTTACAAAGGGATTTACCATGAAATCAGGATAAAATGCCAAAATGGGCCCTAAAAAAAATTGTTATTTCAGTTGAAGCATATTTAAACAAGACATTGTGTGCCCTCACGGCTAATAAATCAATAACTTGGGGAACTTTTGAAAAATAGTTGAGAAGTTCAGTATTTCTTAGAGTGTGGTATAGGCATGATGCCTGTTTATGAAGGAGGATTCATTTTCTCAGGGGGCCTCTATGTTCTGTATGGATGTAGACAGGAAGCCTGTAGGTTCTAAATGATAGAAGTATGGAAGAATTTCTATATTAATAAAGACCTGCAAATAAAAATAGAGCAATGATGCTTTGGGAATGCTGGAATCCTGGCACAAGGAAGTTTTATTATGCAATAGTAAAACCCGCTAGCCATTACTATAGCTAACAATACCTTCAATTTCATATCTTGCCAATTCTTTTTTTTATGATAGGAAGGCTTAAAAAAATGTGATTATTTATTTCTACAGGTTTTAGAGATTTCCCCTTAAAGCTAAATTCAAGGCGCCATAATTTTACAGATGTAGATGTGTTATAAATTCTTTACTTCTGCAGTGTAGGTTTTCTTTCTTCTTTCAGCACAAAAAAATTACTTTTTGCGTGGTACAGCTTCCGATATACTTCTGCATACCGCCAACACCAGTGCTGAAGATGTGATTGACACAATCGCTGGTGCAGTTTCTTTTCTGGCTGTATATGTTTTAAACACAACTTGTGTCAGGGCCAAACAGCTTTGTGTGAAAGGTCAAACCGTTCAAAGGGGCAAAGACATGACAGCAGCGCTGGTGTCAATCATAGCTGCAGTAATGGTGTCGGTAAGGAGCAGAAGTATTGTAGAAGCTGTTCCTAAAAGCATGTATTTCTAATGCTGCTGATAAAAAGAAAACAAAGAAAAATACTACTATGCAGAGGTAAATAACTTAAAACACCTATGTAGGTGCCCAAAACCATTCAAACATGTGCAACAATAAAAACCTAATAGCCTGATGTTTTCAGGCTTACAAACCTTATAACAAAAAAAAAGGCAGGATTTGGGATTTAGACTATTGTTAGCCATAGTGTAATGGCGAGTCTGCTAGAGGTAAAAAACTAAAGCTACCTTGTGCTGAATTACAGAATTCCTGACTTTAAAGGAATATTAAACTGACACTAAACTCTTGAGTTAAATCTTAAAAATGCATTCAAGTACCTTAAAGTGACATTCAAGCTGGAATCCCCCCTCTCCAATACTGCTTTCAGGACTTACTTTGTGAGATGCCTCTTAATCTGAACAGCTTCTTACTTCCACTGGTTTTCCAAAGTCTTTCCAGCGCTGGAGCCGGTCTCAGATCCACTGCAGACTCCAAAAATGAATGTTCTTTATATATTTGTTTCCCAGTTTGAATGTAGTGTATTGTAATAATACACGATGACCACTAGATGCTGCTGTGGAGCATAGGAAAAATAATACAAAATAGAACATTCATTTTTGCTATTATTCTCCCTAAATGAACGTTCACAGGTGAAGGGCCCTGCGAAATGTTTTTTTAATAGACCCCTAATTATCTCACTGTTAGGTCCATGAAAAGAAGTGAACATGCTCTGTTAGGGGCCCTTGCTCTAGGTTTTAGGATCTCAATATGTAGGTTCCCCCTATAATTTTTTGGAGTACCGAGATCATTATGCTGTGCAAACATTCATTCATTTTGCATCTACTTTTTTTTAATCACATATGATTGGAATTTTCCAGCACATTTGCCAGTATTTTATTTCAGTGTTACCGCGCTTTGCTAGGGGTCGCTGTTATAGATTCAAGAAGCACAAAATTTAAGCTCCCACTATCATTATTTTGGGTACCAACACTATTATGCTGTCCACATACACTGATTCATTTTGCATCTTTTTTTTTTTTTCTCTAAATGCACATCTAGCCCATTTGCCGTTATTTTGTTTCAGTGTTTTCACGCTTGCTATTTTGGTTTAATTCATCCCAAAATAGGCTTATCATTGAATTGACAGCAGTTTTCAATTTTCTTTTTAAAAATAAAAAAAAAATCATACCACACAAGCTGCAACCATATGCAAAAACAAACAACATTTTTTTCAAGTTGTCAATTGCTCTTCAATCTGAAAACAAATTGTGGAATATTGCCCAGACATGCTAAGATTGTTTTATAGATAATAGAACACATGGATTATCAAATCATTGGGTTAAAATTTGTGTTTGTTGGTTCTGTTGAAAATAACTGGAAATTCTAAAACAATGGCAGACAGACATTTGGGAACCTGGAAAACAGCCAAAAAACTATCAGTTCCAGACAAAAGGTGAGAAGATGTAAAGTGCCTTTGTGCTAGATGACTTTAGGACTACATACTGGGCTGTTTTCAGTTTTCAATCACCCACAACTCACTGCAGATCACCCAGATTAATTCCGTGTTTAATTCCTATAGTGATCACTGGACAATTGATTCACTTCTATGTGAATTTGTAGTCACGTAGCTTGCACAGCCTAAAAACTATCCATACAGTTTAGACGCAAGGTTCATTCAAAGCATGCACAGAGCAAGAGAACATCCCCATAGCTATAGAAGGCCAGACTTTCCTGAAATCAATATAGCAGTTTATTGTGGTTGCCAGTTAAAAGTTAAATCACATGTTGGCTTCTTTAAGCTCACGGGGATTGATTTACAGAAATTAAGAAGATTGAAGCGAAAGTGGAGAAGCTGCAAGCAACCAAATTTCATCTTTCAAAAGCAGGAATTTTGTTGCCATGCGCAGCAGCTCCAGTTGATTTCCTATTTTCTTGGACTCCATTGGCAAGATACCAACACTCAAACCTATCCCCATAACTTGCAATAAGAAAGGTCAAGAGATACGCCATTTGTCTGCACCTGATTCTGTATATTCAATATTGCTAAAGAGCTTAGAGGGAACCTCTTAAATGAAGTCCATGAGAGCAAGTGCAGGAGACATAACCCTTTAGCTATAACTGAAATATGCATCAAGGGACTAGTATAAGAAAATCAGGCACCTCAGTCACATCACCACCGATATTTTATGGTAGTCTACGAGAAATTAGCCCCCTTTCTTTTTCTTATTGCTACATCCAGATACACAACCATAGTACCTCCTCTTTCCATTTGAATTATAACACTGCTGTGTCTTACAACAGGATCAGAGCTAATGCCCAAAGCCCTTTCTACCAGGATAGTGGGAGGTATATGGTGGTTTTTCACCCTGATCATCATCTCTTCTTACACGGCAAACCTGGCTGCATTCCTGACAGTGGAAAGGATGGAATCTCCAATCGATTCGGCGGATGACTTGGCCAAGCAGACAAAAATAGAATATGGCGCTGTCCGAGATGGCTCAACCATGACCTTTTTCAAGGTAACGTGATCATTGAACCTTTTCTTTTTCTTTTAAAAAAAACAGGAATCTGCAGAAAAGGAACACTTCTACTTCAATTCTCTGGGGAAAATTAAAGTGTATCTAAACCAAAAAGCAAAAATGTAATATGTTCCAGCTTACCAGGGTTAGGGTAACTCCACTTTAAAATATAAAAATGATAAAATCTTAAACATATTAATATAGCATAAATAATTGTTGCACAAGCCATTTAATGTTATTAAAATTACCTTTCCAGGTAAAACTGTAGATGCTGTAATGTTTTAAACCTGTAAAAAAAAATCAATGCCTGGAGGCATTCAGTACACAGTTGGCGTACGGAACGCCCCCACAAATGTCACTTCCTGCTTCTGTGATTGGCTCAATGATTTTCTCAAATGTCTGCACTAAGACATTTTTGGCATCCATTGCAATAGGAATTTCATTTTTAGTGAGCTACTCCCTAAAAGTTAATTACTGTTAAAGGAATGCCAAAACTGCAGCTTTCCCTATTACAATAGAGGAAGCCCACTAGCTGCTTATGCAGGCAGTCCCCGGGTTACATAAAAGATAGGGACTTTAGGTTTGTACTTAAAGGAGAACTATGAGGTGAGTGAAAAGCGCTCACCTCATAGTTCTAGCCGACCTGTGACAGTCTCATTGTCACAGGGCGGCTAGAACTATGAGGTGAGTGAAAAGCGCTCACCTCATAGTTCTAGCCGACCTGTGACAGTCTCATTGTCACAGGGCGGCTAGAACTATGAGGTGAGTGAAAAGCGCTCACCTCATAGTTCTAGCCGACCTGTGACAGTCTCATTGTCACAGGGCGGCTAGAACTATGAGGTGAGTGAAAAGCGCTCACCTCATAGTTCTCCTTTAAGTTGAATTTGTATGTAAGTCGGAACAGGTCAATTTTTTAAGTGTAACTCAGGCCAAAACATTTTTCTATGTTTTGGATAGCATAGGGAAGGGTCACGTTTGTTTTGCTGTCTGTTCCTGTTGTTCAGAAGATTATAATATATTAAAAACATGGTTAAATCCTTAAAATCCTTGTAATGTACACTCTATGGAGGAGCCACGGAGCCAACCTTGCACAACAGCATTGTCACCCTTGGTTGTGGTATTGTTATGTGTACTAGCAGATTTAGATGGGCTTGACTAACAAATTATCCAAACACCAGCTAACACTGTTTAAGCAATTACAGCAGTAGGCTTTTTTTTTCTTTTGAGATAAAGGTTTTACATTAATGAATAAAATCTGACCATTGTAAGTTAAATGGTTTGTTTCAACCCTTTATCTGCCACTGCTGGACAGCTTGGCCTATTTAATTAAGCTAAAAAATAATATACTAGTCTTATCACCAGGTCAAAATAAAGGAAAAAAGTCTAAAAAGGAAAACTAATAAAACCACCAAATCTAAAGATTACTACGCTGCAATATGTAAAAAAAAATTATGGGTTTAGCTACACTTTAATAAACTATGGGGTCTATCCACTAAGCTGCCGCAGGCAGCCGAGTGAATGACCGACCTGAAGTGAAGTGAGCCGAACACTGTTCGGCTATTCACTTCAGGCTGGTACGGCTGATTTCAGCCGTACATCGGACCGTACTCAGAGGGACCAAGCAGAACAGAAAAATAGTTTAAAAAGTTAAAAAAAGTAAATAGAAAACGATTGTGAGGAGCCTGTTTGACCTTTGCCCAAAAAATGATTACTCAAAAAGTAAACTGCAGCCAATCAGCATACGCACTGTTGTCAGAATACAGTAGACCTGTGGGGGGCTGTTAGTGTGGATGGGGGAATCAAGAGGTTTTTTTTTCCAGTTTATGGGGCTGAATGTGAAAAAACTGCCAGTGAAGGGCAAGCTTAAAGCTAATGTTAATTAAGAATTAGATTTAAAAATATGTCTCAGTGCACTAACTCTGTGCCACGGTGAAGGTGTCTGTACTCTGAGCTGGAGAATCATATCATGTCAGCATGTCTGCCGAGCACTGCTTCTGATTTGTTACCCATTTGATGCCCACTCTTGTGTGACACCTGCCCAGACCTTCATCTTAATTCCTTGACTATTGACCACTCTCATCCCTGATTCCATGACTATGATTGTCTGTTTACTCCCCTTATCCCTTATTCCTTGACTATGCTTGCTTACTAACGCCCTCATCCCTGATTCCTTGACTATGCTTGTCTCCTAACTGCTGACTGCCTTTATCCCTGATTCCTTGACTGTGCTTGTGTTGCCATCTTCTCTGACCGCAGTCCTGACCTGCCCTCATTTTAGCTGCATGATTTGTTACTTTAATTGGTCCTTTCCAACTTCTAGCTGTTGCCATGTTGGAAGTTTAATTAGCTGAACCCTAGTTATCAGGTATCAAATCTTACCTCACTTTCAAAGACTCTGGTGGGGTTCTGACACTTCTAGAACCTAAACACTGAGCCAGCAGGGATATTAGTTTGCTACCTATTTTGGTAGCCTAGAGCCTAAACACTAGAACCTAAACACTAGAACCTAAACACTGAGCCAGCAGGGATAATAGTTTTCTAATAGAATCCTAATAGGTTGGACTTGATGGACTAATGTCTTTATTCAACCTCAAATACTATGTAACTATGTACCTATTGTGGTGGCCTAGAACCTCAACACTAGAACCTAATCACTGAGCCAGAGAGGATATTAGTTTGCTACCTATTTTGGGGATGGTGATTGATGTTGCTCTATGTATAATAAGGTGTTGTTTTGTAAAAAAAATAAAATAAGTATTACAGAGAAACTACCCTGACAAATATCCTTTGATGCCAAAAGGCCACTGTAGACCTTGGACGCAGCTGGTGGCTTACAACCTGCCCAATTATTCCTCACCCTGACAAACCTTGGGTGGTGATGTCTTCTTGTGCCTACTAGACATTTGATTGCCTCCTGCTCTGGACCTGCACCTTTAGCATGTCCTCCTCATCTGGGTTTCAACTGAATCTAGTACAAGCTTAATTTATTATAAACGTTGATCCTTCTTTAACATAACCTCCTATGAGTAAAGTGCCAAAGTCAATTTTTCTGAACCTCTTTTCTCATACATTGCAGTAAGTCCTAAATGCATGGTTGAAGTAGAAGCTGTCAGCTGCGCAATCTGCATCTGCAAATAAAATACAATTTAAAAAAAAAGATGCACAATGGAGAAATTTATCAGACATAATGAAAATGCTCAAAATAATATAATATAGGCAAGATGTATATTGTATTTATACTGTGCTGGTTGCAAAATATAGCTCAAAGATGGAATTATACTTTGAGTTGATGAATAATGGCCAGTGTCATTTCCTTCCACCTGTCAAGGACACTTTACTTTTCATCTGTAAATCTTTCTGGAAGAAAAAAGGCACTTTTTTGTTATCATTTTGGCCTAAAACACACGAGCGCCTCTATTAAAAGACATCATCGCATATCCAGGTTAGAAAAATTTAATTGTTCTGCTAATTTGGTTTCCAGGAAACCAGTGAATGACTCGAATGACTATTCCAGTTTGCTTTAAATTATGCTTAACTAAAGCATCCGCAGCCAGATAATTAAGGGGATGTCAGAATGGAAGTGCAGGTGTACGTGCGTATAGCTAGCTCCGAGCCCCCTTCACACCTGGAAGGTTAAACAATAGTATGCCTGATTTTCTGCTCAGAGATTGTCTGTTTTATCTTGTTAGCAACTATTAATAGGAACGGAGCATACAATACAAATGCTCAGTATTTCAGAGACAAATGGATGCTACTCTGAAAAATAGTCTTTCAAAGACAGCTAAGCTGTATCCCAACAGTGTACAATGCAAGAATTTGTTTAGAGTTGTCATACCAATCATTTAAAGAGTAAAAACAGTCAAATAGAAAAATATTTCTGACCCAATGATGTGTAGGAAAATATAGGTGGAGGTTGAGGGTCCATGCTGGATGACCCAAGCAATCTATTATTTTTTTAATATGTCTTCATTTATTTTTGAGACAAAATCACAGATAAAAGTGATCAGATAGATTTTAAAATTCTGATAGTTTTCAAGACAATGGTGTAGTATGTGCAGCGGTGGATTGATCTTGAAACGATCGCTTTTTTAAGTTCATCCAGAAAACTTTTCACATTGAATATGACAAGTTATGAATAATAACTTCAGACCACAAAATCAAATCAATCGGGAGACAGCAGGACTTGCCTAGTCAGGATTATTTCATTTTAGTGGGTATGCAGAAAATGAAGGGACATTAATAAAAACTAAAAATGATTTAGTAAAATTGTATATTAAATGTGTATTTACAAACATTAATGATGAATATTTGCAAGGGGGTCCACGCATATGAAGGAGTATATCACTTGGTACAATTCTGATATTTTAAGAAATGATCATCTAGGTATTCAGAGATTCACATGGCTTTCTCCGCTTCCCCTTTCCTTTTCTTGCTCTTTTGTCCTTTCTTCCTTTCCCTCCCAAAAAACCCCCAGTATACCTTCACCTTACGTGTTCCCTTTCCTGCTTCTAGCTGTCTTACCCCTGTCCCCCTTTCTCTTCTAATCTTTTTACCCTTTTCACCAGCTATCTGTTCCCTTTCTTTCTTTGTTAGTCTCTATCTCCTTTCCCTTGTACCTGCCATCCCCTCCCTCCCCCTATTGATAAACACTGTGTTATCTCTACTTTTCTCTCTTTCCGACTCTCTTTTTCAACTCACACTCCCCCATTCTTACTTTGCCAAGTAGCTGTCCTTTCTATTCCCTTACCCTCCTCTCCTTTCCATTTTCCTCATCTCCTTTCCATTCCCCTCACCTTCTCTCCTTTCTGTTTCCCTCTCCTTTCTACTATCGTTCTCTCCCCTCCTTTCTCCTCCCTTTTTTCTCTCCTCTCTTCTTCTTTTTCCTCCTGCCCTTATATTTTTCCCTCTCCTACTCTTTCCGCATCCACTATTCTCCTTTCCCGTCAACTATGATCATCTTCCCTTCCATCTCTTTTACCTTGATCTCCTCTTCCCTACTGTATTTTCCCCTCTCCCCTCCACACCCCCTCCTCTGCTTTCCTTTTTGCTCCCCTCCATCCCTTCCCCTTACTTTCAACACCTTTTCCCTCCCTTTCTTTCCTTTCCCCATCCCTATCCTCTCAATTCATATCTCCTACTCTCCTTTTCTCTCACTCCTGCACATCTCTCCTCCTCCCTCGCATCCTCTTTTCTCCTTTCTCTACCTTCCTCTCTTCCCTTTTTCCCCTTCCCTTTTCTTCCCCTCCTATCCTCTTTTCCCGGCTACTTTATTCTTCTCTCCACTTTCCCATCTCTTCTTTCTTTCCCTCCCCAACCCCAAAATCCCATTATGAAACAGCTTTTCGTTGCTGATTTCACTTTTTCCCATAATCCATCTCTCTTCCCTTCTCACTCACTATGGGTTCCCCTTTCTTCTTCTGTTAGCTTTTAGTCTCCTTATCCCACTCCCTGGCATGCCCTCTATCCCTCCCTTAACCACCCCAACATCACTCCACAAAAACCTCCTCTCTCACACCTCTCTCACATTTTTCTCTCTCTCATTCTTTCTTTTTCACTCTCCTTCACTACTTCTCATTTTCTCTCTTTCTCTTTACCCTGCATGTAGCTTTGACATCTTTTAATAAAAAGCTGACATTTTCTGGTAATGACTCCGCTACATATACACACAGAGTGATGATGTAGTTTGTTTTTTATTAGTAAGTTCATGTTGAGTAGTCATGATGGAGGGTTTATTGCTGATATTTTATAGCATTGTGATACAGATGGACTGCTTGTCCTCAAACGCCTCTAAATCAAAGGTAAGCCTGAATATTCCTAAACTATTTTGTAGCCACCTTCAGAAAAACCTTTGCTGACAGCAAAGTAATTTCCCCATGTAATAGATGTTTTGCACCAGGCAGACCTTTGATAGCTGGCTGTGCTCTTTTCAGAAATCCAAGATATCTACCTATGAAAAGATGTGGGCATTTATGAGTAGTCGGCAGCAGACAGCGCTGGTGAAGAACAATGATGAAGGCATACAGCGGGTACTCACCACGGACTATGCGCTGCTTATGGAGTCCACCAGCATTGAATATGTCACTCAACGGAACTGTAACCTGACCCAAATTGGAGGCCTAATTGACTCAAAAGGATATGGCGTTGGGACACCTATTGGTGAGTCTTTTTTGAAGGTTGCCTAGATGTATGCCACAGAAACCTAAGATTTTTAGGGCAGCTAAAGACTTCTCACTTCTTTCATGTTTAAATGACTATCCATAGACAATGAGATTGATTTGCTAAAGGCAAATAGGCTGACCATGTTGCAGAGGAATTTGCACTTTGCAAAGGATTTTCCCTTAGCTTAGTTTCCTTCATCCAATGATGTGCATGCAAAAGTACGTTTTTTTCCCTGCACTTGATTGAGTATTTTTGCTAAATTAACTTTTTAGAACATTCACCAGCCTAAATAAAAAATCCTTTGCAAGGTGCAAATTCCCTTGCAAGGTAAACAGCCTGTGTAAATAAAAAAAAGTCAACAGTACAAAAAAGAAAAGGTTGATGCAGTAAATATGGCCTTATTTTGGATATGGAGACCCTTATGGTCACCCACAATATAGCCACACACTTTGGAAATAACCGAGAAAGGTACAAGGCATGACTTTACTATCAATGTCTTTGCAGTATACTTTAGTTGAGTATTTTGGGACACTTTTGCACCTGTAACCCCAATAGCAATTTTTTTTAACAAACCATTCAGGTTTCCTCTTTAACAGAGGATGAATGGGGCTGAAGCTGCAACTGCCTTTGCCATGACTGAAGGTATTCTGGGGTTTATATTATTACTGTACATCCTTCCATGTGCACCTGCATCTATGACTGTGGAGATAAAGCATCTGATAGAGCAGAAGGTCTTAAACTATGGGTCAAGACCCAAATTCTGTAGCAGGTATGTTTGCGATGGGTTGTCATTTGACTTTGTGTCAAAGGGCAAAATCAGCAGCTCAATGATGAGTGATATCACACTTACTGTAAATTATGGCACAGACACATATAGGGAGCCAGAATGTCTGAGGAGGGGGTGGCAAGATTCCCAAACAAGATTGGGAAGTAAATAAACCCTAGGATAGTTGGAAATATCTACTACTGAAAGAAAATACAATTGAGATTTTATTTCTCTCGGCTTTACTAAAGCTTACAGAAATGGAAAAGAGCACATATAATGTGTTCTATGTGGGGAAGTTCATAGTATTAAAAGCCTTATATTTAACAAGCTAAAAAGCACCCGCAGCATGACAACAAATCACAGGAACTGTTCAATGGCAAGGCAGAAAGCTTCAAAAACAATGTTTTTGACCTTAGAACGCTAAGCCATTTTAATTAGAACTGGCTTGTAGCATAGTAGTTGCGGGTTGCTAGCTAGCCTCATACCACCAGTTCAGGCAACTTTCTCCAGTAGCTCTTGTGTGCCATTACCACACCACCACCCCCAGAATGTGCCCCTACATTGTTGGTCAGTAGGAGGAAGAATCCATCTAACATTGGTGGTCAGTGGAGAATTACCCCTTACATTGATGGACAATGTAGTGCACCTTAAATTAGCCATCTATGGGACTTCCCTCTTACTTTGTTGTTCAGTTGGAGTCAAAATTCCCTCTAACATTATTGGTCACTGGGAAGGGGACTCACGTGTACACTGGTGATCAATGGGAGAAAGACTAAACTAAAGCCAATGCATTGGTGTCTGTGGTTATTACCTGGGAAAGGAGACACTTTACAGGTGCCTTTCAACTGACTCTGCACAATAACATAATCACCAGAATTTGGCAGGCAGCATTTGGTGGGAAATCAGTCTGACTAGAACCTGCCTGAAATACATATGCCAGCCTGGTGGATAGGCAGGTTGAGAGAACCACTCACAGCCCACCCCTAGGCCCAATATCAACATTAACCCTTTCATAGACACCTGTTTGTTACATTTCCATGTTACATTACAAAATCTACAACTTAATTACAAATTTAAAAAAGGTGGGGGGGGGGGGTAAATTAAAACAACTCTGTCACTAAAATGAGAATAAAACTCTTCTCTGTAAAGAATATAGTAAATACTTAAAGTGTATGTAAATCCAAAATCTATTTTACAGTATGTTTGGCATCCTGCCTCACTGTATACAGTTTTTTTAAACAAATATATTTTTTCTGTTGCAAAGTTTCTTGTCTTTGAGATCCTACCAGTGGCAGCATTTCCTGCTTCAGGCCAACAACAATAAAGCTGGCCATACACTGCTAGATTTTCGTAAGATATTCTCCTGAAAAATCCCATCAGAACATTCGATAATGTTATCAGAAACTTGACGGATGTTGTTCAAAATTTTGTTTCATTTTAATATTTGATTTTGGAATGAATGGAGTTTCCCAACAAAAAAAACAAATTTACTGTTATAACTGTGGGGAAAAAAAATTCCATCCTATTCCTTTGCTTTTTTTCATTTCTACGGTCAAAAACGATGGTTATTTGACCCCTCTTACTATAAAAGAACGAACCTCTGTTTCACTGTTTTTTGTAAATTAAATTATACTGGTGCATGGCCAGCATAAGCCAGTGCCTGCAATTAGCAGTAGTGTCTTCAGCCTGCCTTGCACACTCCTTCGATTGGCCTTTTGGCTGCCTACCAGTCTTGGGCATGGCTCTTGGAGTAGTCAATCCAATGACCAACTGAAGGTGCAAGCACAGCAGACTAACAAGGATGCTGCTGAATGAAGGCAATGTATTAGCATTGTCTGTTACTAGCAGGATCTCCAGGTAAGAAACTTTACAAACGAGCCACAAAAGAAAAAAAAAATGCTTAAGAAAACGGTATACAATGAGGCATGATGCCAAACATAAGGAAAATAGATTTTGGGTTCACATTTACTACTGTAATGCAGAGAAATCACTGCATAAAAAATCTTTAGAAACAGACTATTCCAGGAGTGTTGATTTCCTGGTCCCCTGTTGCTATTCTATGAAAAAGCTTTTTGTGAGAAAAACACATGAGAGGTAAAAGCCCAGGCAGGTAATCCAGCATCTTGAATTTACAATAAACCATTGAATAGTGCTTCAGCATGTGGTTTCCATTTCTTCTCATGCACATTGCTACATCAATTGTGGGGGACCAGGAATCCAAAGCTCCCAGAAGACAGTATTTTCTATCTATCTATGGTGAAGAAGTGCACTGTTAGATGCCAGGTTTCTGGTAAATAATTCCCCTTAGGAAATGATCACATAATTTCCCTCACACAGCAGCACTGTCGTTTGCACCTCCCACTAATGATGGGAAGAGGTAATAGAACAGACTTTGCTAGATGACAAATGAACAACATAAAATATAGATAAAGCAAAGCAAAGCATAGCATAGATGTGCAAATATGGATGCAGGCATCATTTTTAACTTGCAATCTCAGAGTTTGCATTACAAAAATACTTTATTTCTTCTTTAAGTGTAGAAACACATACAAACATGGGAAAATATACCAACTTTATGCTTACGAGGTCCCAAGTGGAGATCACAGAGACATTTTTAGCACTGCAAAGCAGGAGTACTAAACTCTCAGCCACTGTGATGCTCTAAAATTATTAATTCGGCCCCAGGGGCATTTTCTGAATGCAGTGGTCCTTTGTGCAAGATGATAGGTTCACTGCCACCAATGAAGGTGAGGAAAGGGGGACTGTAATTACACTTTGTAATTATAACCCCCCCTTTCCCCAACTTCAGTGGCAGTATAATGATTATAAACCCATCCCCCACCCATTTGTCCTCTGCTGACTCTGACTAACCACACAAATTTGAAACTTTCAGGTATACATTGGGAGGAGATCACTTCGCTTCTCTGCCGAGTCCTGGCACACACTGCCAGGGAGGAGGGATTTGCTCTGTTACAGAACAGAAGCACTGGCGGCTGCACCACATGCAAGACAAGTAATGGAATGGTGACCCCAAAGGACAGCTCAGTAGCTAACCATACCTGGTCTTGACAAGGCCTCCTTCTGCCCAGGGCCTATTGCAGCTGCATGGGCTGCAATGGTGGCAGATCTACCACTGAGCCATTCCCTAATTGAATAACCAATGAGTGCAGTGATTGCAAATTATGCCTCCCCCCCCCCCCCCCTCAGGGCCCATGTGCACTGTACGCACTGCACAAATTAGGGATATGCCAGTTAGTAGGCCTCAAAAGCTCTGTCTTGTATGCCACCCGCACCTTTTTATATAAGAAAATATTATGGCACTGGAGTTTGTTCTTAAAATGAATATTAGCAATACTACACATTCCTCCATGTAGTTTTCATTGATCTCCCCACAGGCTCACCCTACAGAGATAAAATCACCATCGCCATCTTACAGCTTCAGGAAGAGGGGAAATTACACATGATAAAGGAGAAGTGGTGGCGAGGGAACGGTTGTCCAGAGGAGGACAGTAAAGAAGCCAGTGCTTTAGGAGTGGAGAACATTGGAGGAATTTTCATTGTACTGGCTGCGGGACTCGTCCTATCAGTCTTTGTAGCAATAGGAGAATTCATCTACAAATCCCGGAAGAACAGCGATATAGAACAGGTAAGTGTTTGATACCTCTGTGGATTTCAGATGGCGATGGGGCTGTTCCTACAATAAAACAAGGTGAGACTTCTGCCTTTGTTGGAGTACTTGAATTGAGAAGTGCTTACATTACCTCCTGATCTTGAAGCTTCCTCTTGCTGCTGTACATGATGGTAAACAGTGCAGCTAGAAAAAGGACGCATACCAATACAAAAACAAGGATACAGGGCTTGGGCTGGTTCTACCCTTATGTGATTTAAAGTACAAATGTCATGAGACAATGTTGTGGGCTACTATTGTTGACCTCTCCTTCTGAGAATGCTAGTTCGCCAGCTGCCATACTGACCCAATGGCAGCAATGTTTTTTTTTAATTATACAGGTGTAGAGATAAAAAGTGGATTCTTTTTTTTCTGCCTATATGTTATGCTTGCTTAGGGTCAGTGACTCGGAAGAACTGAAGTAAGGCACAGTCAGGCAATTATGGTTTATAGGTGGGTTTCTGGTATAGTCAGCCCCATATTTCCCCCCAAATGTGCTGGGAGGCCCGCCGAAATGTATCGAACACTATGTAAAGCATATAGGTGAGCACATATATTATCCATTTTACATGAGATAGAGCATAACTTACTGGAGGAGAATTATTGGTGCTATATGCTTCATCATATGAAGTTTTGCAATCAAATGTGTGAGTTTCCTTTGTTTATACTTTTTGGCACTGACCCATGTTCAGCACCCCATGATGTTTTGGCATATTTTTTTCATATCACAAATTTTTTTTTACCAAACATGTAAATTAACCTTAAAGTGCCCCTGAAAAATGGTGTTACAAGTTAAGGGTTCTCTTCCTTATAATGGAATTACTTTGGGAGGCATCTTTTAACTGAAAGCATATCTCAAACATCCGTGCCGCATTAAATTCAGCATCAGCATATTTTGTTTGCTGTACATGTTTTTACTTTTTAGTTGCTTTTTTTATGTTTTGTATTTTTTTTCCATTGTTTCAGAATATTTTTACTGTTGTTTTCATTGTGCTTGTATTATCATTGTTGTATTATTATTAATTTATGCATGTTTCTTTTCATCTTTTTTTGCATGCCAAGGCCTTTTGTTTCTTTTACGGTCTGCAAAGTAAACCGACCCACCCGTCCAACTCCACTTCGGGGACCACCTTGTCCACGGAATTAGACTGTGGCAAATTACTCCGGGAGGAGCGAGGAATAAGAACACAACCCTCTATTCACACCGTATAATATACGTAAAAGGTGTGTTTATGTCACTGAGCAGGACACATGGACAGAGTTCAATCTTAGGTTCTGTTTCCCTGAAAATGTCAGGGAAACTAAGGTTTTTGTAGTCAGGGCTGTTATCACAGTTGGACGATTTCAAAGGAGGCTAGTAATGCAACACCCTGGTGTTCCAGACTTACTTAGGGTTGATATAAGGCCTGGGTTGCTTCACATGAGCTAAAAAGTACAAGGTTGTTTGTCAGGGAAGACGCACAAGTGTCAGGTTATCAGGAAGGAAGGCGGTACTCCCCCATCTGGGATCCCTTATAAAGAAAATTATACTGTGCTAAAGAACTCTAGACAAAAATAATTTCAGTTTATGCCTAGTTTATGTCCTACATACTGTATATGCCCTGTCGTACTCTTATAGCTGTGAATATCCTCCATACATGCAGTTCAGCACCCTTTTACCCTTTAAATCATGGTAATGATGATAACTCTACAGGAAAAATGGCTGTTGAGGATCTGTACACTCAGTTACTTCTCCTTCCGCAGCCTAGTGATAGAACAGCCAAGGAGCAGCAGCTCACTGATGACATCACCCCTGCGCTCTCTCTCCATTATGTAAGCAGATGACCACTTTTTGTGAATGCTCATTGGCCAGCTATCATGTTGGCCTACTTGGCTTCTATATGTACTACAATCACAGAAATGTAGCAATTATAAATCAGGAAAGTCAGAGAGAAGTCAGAATTACCTTTTTCAATGCCAACATAATAATCGAAACAGCAATAGTGTATCTACAACCAAAATGATAAAAAGTTAGTACACAGGAGGAGGTGCCTAAAGGTACCATTGCACAATGGTGATTGCACTACTAGCCTGTCCACAACAGCATTAGCCCATCTCTAGAGCACCTGTTAACCACAAGTTCTTTGAGCCAAAGCCCAGGAAGCTTTTGATATGAATAAGGTACAAGAATCCCTGTGCAATTAGATGGATTCTCTTTTTCAGAGTTTTGCTAATTAGTTGTTCTCTTTCAAATGCCACCTACTCCCCAAGCTGGAGTGAAAAGTGTCTCTTCCTGCCAAATAAAAAATGGGGGATGCAGGAAAGTTTATTACTATGGTCACATTTTCCCGAATGACCACCCATGTCAGTTCACAGGGCCTTTCTTACTGATTCAGTTCCAGATGGTGAGTTATGTAAGGCTATTATTCTTGATCTTCTCCTTTCCTGATTTCCTTAACCCTTTAAAGGAGTCAGCCCACCCATTTGTCCCCTCTGCCCATATTTGGTTGTCTTGCTTTGCCACCAAGACAAGGCCACACATAGAGTTACAGGAAAAAAGTGTAAAAGAAGGGTGCAGACTTTTTTCTTTGCATAGGTTACACAAGTCTGCCACTACTGACATTTTCACTGATAATGCATTTCTCAAATAATAAGCTTCTTTCTGTCAGCTTCTCTCATCATAGAGATGTCTTCATAGCTACATGACTATTTATCATACTGCTAAGAAAGAGGAAATCCAAGGAGCAGGCTTTTCAGGGTTTGGTAAGCATAGAGTGGGTGGATAGCCGATAACGCCACAGAAAGGCTGTGTCCACACAATTTTGATACCAGAGCAGGCCATTTGGGATTTTGCCCCCTTTGAGCCAGAACTCAGTATCTTAAAATCTAAACAAAAGAACATTTATTTGCTTATGTCGCTTATTGGGACACCCTTGTGGCACCCTTCATATGCCCATACTTTTTAAAACACACCCATTTTGTTCACACTTTTAAGCTAAAAAGAGGTTTGTTGGGAATACTATCTGGATGTGGAACACAACTGAAAAGAAAATAGAAGTAGGATAACCTTTTAAACCATTATTTTATTTTTATTTTTTTACAAACTCTTCCTTTCTCTGTACAAACAGGCAACAAATTTAGTTCTGCTAGAATGTTTTTTCATCCAGAATAGATTTTCTCCATTTATTCAGCACTCTGAGGCTTCCCCGATATAAATGACCACTGAAAGGGCAGAGGTCAACTATTCTCATGTCAATTCTCTGCTCAGGATAAAAAACCTTAATGTAGATCAATTTTAAAAACAAATGTAAAGGTTGCGTTGACCCGTGAAAGGTCACATGTAATTGCTGGATTCACTATAAAGGTCTATTCAGTTCCAAAAGGCCTGTATGAAGAATAAACATCATCTATCATTTTTCTGTGTTTCACCATACTGGTTTGGGGGTTGTGAAGCTGAATTAATGTAGCTCTACTGCCACTAATATGACTCCCACCCCACACGGACGCAATGACTGAGCCTGCTAACAGAATGCTTCTGCATTGAAAGTTGGGGATGTGCATATTTTCTCCAAAGAGGAAGAGAAGACAGTTTGGAGAGGTGCTCTAAGCAGCATTGGATGAGCATATTGAGAAGAAAAAGGTATGAGCTGACACCAGCTACAGTTAGTAGTTTATATGATTTAAGTTTCCCACAGGTTCACTTCAATGGCATCCTCAAAAGATCAACCATTAAAAGATAAAAAAAGTAGCAGTCAGAGGAAGATTAATTGCTGTGTAAAAGGGTGTAACTACAATTCATGGGGCCCCATTCTAAAATTTTGATCTCCCCCAAGGGACCTTTCTCTGTGACGCCTGGCAATTTCAAATGGAACAATAGTACATTTGATCCTAGCATAAATTATGTCTAAATCAACGTAGCAAGTGAGGGTCAGTACACTATTGGGGACTAGAGCTGTCGATGGAGAAGAGGATTTGCTGTGCAGAGGATTCATTTTCAACCTGATTTTTGTTGAAGTATAAAATCTTAGGGCTTTGGTCTAAATTCTGAACCCTCCAGTCCAGCAGCCAGCTGGGTCCAAGATTCAGGTAAGTATTTATTTGTTATTTTAGCTCCCTAGAAAAAATGAGCACATAGTCCTTGCAGTACAGGGATAGCCCCACTGTGAGAGTTAAAATTTAATATGCCCAGAGTTCTTCTTTAATACAATCTTAAACCATGGCTTTGGTTTTTTTGGAATTACAGACCTCAAATATTGTATCAATTATTAGCTGAGAAGACACTTTTCAGCCTCAAGAATACTGCGTTAGGCATACAGGGTTAATATCAAAGTGCTGGCCAGGATGACCAGAAGCTCTGAAGGCAACAAGTCTACTTTCAGATAGGGAGGATGCATAGGAGATCTGTGACAAGCAACACAATGTTTTTAATGCATCTGAAACATCAGACAACTTCCCAAGTGGAGCCCGCTTCCCACCCTGAGGCCCCATAGCAGCTGTGTGGGCTGCTATAGCAGTAGTTACGCCACTGGTACGGTGAAGCAAAGCCTGCAGACTGCAAGCGATATAATACCACATGCCACAAAAGACTAGTCTGCCTCCATTCCCCTGCTGTCAATGGCTGTTACTGACTTATATTTAACATTTTTTAAACATTTTTGAGCACTGTATCTTTACCTGATGACTACACACGCTCCATTAATTGTTTGCAAATTCCTATATTCAAGTTGTAAAGTAAATGCAGCTACTGGACATTTTCTGGAGAGATATTGGTGAGGGATATGTTAAAAGCAAGTGATGACTGAGCTGAGTGGCAAAAAGGCATTTGCACCCCTTTGGCCAGTACAAATAATATATGTTAGAGTGTCAATCCTGAACTCCCTCATTCAGAGATACTCCCTCATTCAGACCTCAGTCAGAGTGGGACACGCAATCAGTGACAGCTGCTGGGAGTTATATAGGAAGTCTTCCAGTATGAACCTCCTTTGTTGCACGGAGATGAT